TTTCTTCTTTTTAGAAATCCTCTCAGATAAGGACGACACAGAGCAGAGCGATTTGAATTGATATTTATTTATACCAATGATATAATGACGCAACATAATCGCAAGCCATCGACGTGGAAATTCGAACGTAATCAGAGCATGATTTCGAACGGCAAAAACCATCACTCGTATAATGTAAATGGAGTTAATAAATGATTCGTTTCTGTGACGATTGTACGGACGATTGGAAGTGAAATCAATCGCTCGGTTCGTTGTCGCTGTGCGTTAATTAATCTCGATTGCGTGTTCATATTTACGTGAATTGCAAACAACAATAAAATCATGTGTGTGTGTGTGTGTGTGTAATTTGTCGATGACGAATTTTAACGAGCAAAAGGAAAGAAACATACGTTCCTCGATATCAACGATTAAAATTAATCGGAACGAACAATTGTTTAGTTCTCTGGATCTACGACGATGCATTTTCTTCACGAGGAATTTCCACGCTTCAGTCAAACGATAGACTGTGGGTCTGACAGGTTAGGAAAAAGTGGGGACGAATGTTTTTGTGCAACATCATCGACCGAAGAAAATTCGAAACTTCGAGATTCGGCCGAGCGACCGATTCTTGTGCAACTTTTGTGCAAAACGGAGAAAGGAGGAAGCCGAAACGATCGACAATGGTGGGCCGAATCGTGGCTCGGCTGGGCTTCTAATCGGCTGTGAAATTGTCATATCATTCGCGAATGGTCACTCAACGACGAGAAATCAGCCGATATAATTGCCCATGAGCGAGCAGGATCGTGGCCAGTCGGCTTGCTGTGCTCGATCAGAAATGGGAATCGGTGGGCCATCGGTAGCCGCGCTGCTGCTCTTGCTCTTTTCTTTGGTAATTATATTGCGAATAACCTGATATCTAAATGACGCCATCTATAATGATTGGAGATTCTTGAAATTCGATCGAGTCTCGAATTGAAATCGACTATCCAATTTTAATTGCATTTCAATTTCACAATATAATTTAATATTTCCAATATTTTTCTAATTATTTTTCATTGACGTAAATTTCTTCGATTTCCACAATCAAATTATATTCTTCACAGGGAGCAGAGTCGTCGATGACAACTCCTTCGACTTCGAAGGAAACCTCATTTGTCAACGCTGCGGAGATCAACCGTGAGATTTTGTCGATGTCGGCGAGTCGCGATGCGATTCGTAGAAAAACGAAGGAAGCCGCAGGGAAGTTGGATCAGTCGAAAGTAACGATGGTGAACGCCGACGACATGAGAGACCTGGAGAATTTGGAGGACGTTTTGTCGGTCGTTGGGTACGAACCGCGAAGAATTGGGAACGTGGGGAAACGAAAGGCCACGGACACGTTTAACAACACAGTTAACGATCCTGGTAAGTATATCAATTCTCCTCGACTTGTCGATTTGCAAAATGCTTCCTTCTCAGACAGGGTGGCTTCGAGATCGAAGCAAGATACACAGAAAGCGATCGACTTGAGACCAAAATCACCGATCGAAGCAAGGTTATCTAGACCTCGTTCACCAGCGAGACGAAACGAGAAGACGAAACTTTATTCAACTAGAGAAAGTAGCCGTAAACGAGCAACGACGCGCGTGAGAGGCGAGGAATCGGCCACCAGCACCACCGAAAATTATCCCCGGCAATTCGCCGAAGTTCACGGGCCGACGAACAACGAAACTGGGAACAAATCTAGGCGGCTAAGTTGGCGAACGAAGTTGGCCAAACCATTGGCCAGCAATCTCGCTGAGAGCCGAAAGGGCAATTTAGAGAAGTTTGTCGGCGAAGAGGCAGCCTCGGATGGGATTCGTAACTTCGGCGGTAGAAATATTCAGGGGGACGACGCGAGAATCGGCCAAGGAAACACTTTCCAACACACTGGATCGAGTAGGGAAGACAGCAAGGACAGCATCAGAACTTCCGAATCTGATGGCGCTCACAACAGCCCTGAAATACCCGAAGAGAGTGGTTCTTTCGCCGATCTGGATAATTCTTCCAAGAAGCAGGCAACCCCATCGAGCTTCCAGCCTCACCGAGACGTCGAAATTCCAGTCTCTAACTCACGTTCGAACAATTACGTGTATCATCCGTCATCGCTGTTATCCAC